TTGTTGCGTTTACTCATACATTGTGGCACTCTGCCAATTGTTTATTGGCCTCGTTAAATACGTATACCTATCGGGCACAGCCACACATTCTTCTTGGAGGCAGTTGTACTGAAGAGACTGATATCCGTGTGCAAACATTGCTGCCGTTGGCTTGGCTGAACCGTCCTTTCACTTTCTTACATGATGTCTCGAGTTGATGTGACATTCTACTGTAGGGGAACCGTGGATCACCACAGCTTTTTACCGTCATTTTGACAGGAGTCTACGCTACTCTGCAAGAGCAGAACAGCTTCCGGCAAAACTGGTCATGCACCCGGCACTTTTTGATAACCAGTGTAAGCGAAACAATCTGTCCATACTGGAGTAGACAATACTTGCCTAAACTTCTCACAGACGTTTGACCATCTGTATCATCGCATTACTTTTCACGAGTTTCAAAGCTATGGGATTGTTCGTCCTCTTCTTAATTACATTGGATCAAACTGGATTGGATACGCGCCTCCAACGTCTGACCCGATGGAAGTGCACTGTGATGCACAAAGATCCGAACGAAAGTCACGTCCGCATCAGGATTGCATTGACTATCCCTCAAGTGTGCTTATCTCACATTTTATTTTGTTCTCTGACACTCCTAAGATTTGGGGATTATCAAAAAATCGCGCTATCACGTAAGAATGCAATCTAACCTAGGTATGACTTGCAGATGGGCGACTCAGAAAGTGTTCCACCTGGACGCGGCCAAGTGAAACTGGTGAGTATATGCGCCAGAGCTACCACCACTATCGGCTTAGAGAGCAGCAGCTGTAGCTTGCTTTCCATGAAAACGATCTTAGAGTTCATATGCATGGTGGGTTTGATTACACAAGACAATCCGAAAATCACTGAGAAAGACTAGCCAGACTAAATCCTGTTGCAGAGGGCGTTTGGGCAGTTTCTTGCCACCATATTTATGCAGATGCTTTCGTGAGGTCCCATATGAAACGCGTCATCCAAGCTTGTGTTCCTGGCAAGACAATATCTCACTGTGCTTGCCACACCGCAACACATCACAATTAAAATGTCGTCCCCCTTATCAGGACAAACTGAGCGCACTAGGAGTTTACAGAGGACAATGGATATAGATTGGTGTGTCTGTTCCTCGAGGGCTCTAATCACCTTTGTAATCACCTAATAAGACTCAACCACAACACCTCCCCTGAGATGTCGCCAGTTGGTCACACAATATAGCCGGTCGGTGCATTCGTCGACACACATTATCCCTTGGTTTTGTTCTTCGGATCTACAGGACCTGTTAAGAATCTGCTTTTCCTTACTAAACGATTGTTCTGCTATCCTAATATCAACACATGACACAAGCCTCGCTGAAACCAGAGGGATGTCGGCTTTTCATTGCCCTTACTTTGGTATCATGACCTAAATATATTGAGTGCTAACTGGACCAGAACCATGCTATACGTTCCTACTTAAGTGTAAGTGGTGGTATGTGAGCCCGCTACATGGCTCACTTTCCAGACTGCACAAGAATCTGGGTGTTTATTACTATTGCTGTTATATACTTGTTCTTCAGCTATTGATTTTCGCCACAGAACATTCGTTCCCCCGGGCGCTGTCGAAAACTGGTGACAAATACGCAGCTATATGCCCAGTGGAAGTGAGCAGCAGTATAGGTTGACAGCAGAAGCGTTAAGCAGAGTGAAGTCTATAAACGGATAAAAAATAAATGGGCCTCATGGAAGCGCTGACAGCGGCGTAGGCACGCACACAGTCACAATTTCATTTCAGTCAGTGCTGCAATTGTTGCTGCATACAATTCATCGTGCTGCTTTGGCTCCTCTCACTCAAACTGCTGCACCGCACGTGCTATGCCTGCAGCATTATCCGCCATCTCGCTCTGGCTTGGAAATGCTATCACTTTTTTAATTGGGATCGATCGCCGTGCCGCCCACCACGTCCTGGTCACGTGAATCGAAGGTCAATCGATTTGACAGTTATGTATAGCTGTACACAAGTGCTGTTTGTGTGAAAAATTTCGCTTCGCTACGGACGGAGACCTTTACATTTTTGAACCGCGAGGACAAAGTGATAGGCGGTTTGCAAACCTTGTGGCCATACTCATCAGATGGCTGAAGGTCTATAGGGGAACCTTACATTGATCATACACCAATCTTGTCATTATGTTGTATTGTACGCATTATTATACGTTACTCGACATATACTTTCTGTGCAGGCATTTCCCTTCACGAATTTCAATAAAGCAAGAAGAAACATTATAACAGAATTTACTGAATTCAGTAATTTCGCGTATTCTCCTCAGCTGTTTACATACAATGAGTGGAAAACAGTGGTGTGAATGGTTTGGTGCTACCAAAACTTAAAGACCCTAAGTCGAGATTCACTTCCTGCTTGTGGCTGTTGTTCCCACAACATGTTTGTTAGGCTCTCTGTGCTCACTTGTTTTCAAGGTAGCCAACGGGGGGTGGCAAGAAATGCTTTGTCACACGTATCACCAGGGTATCGTAACACATGGAGTGGGCTGCGTACCAACAGTCATCAGGCCAACGGGGTTCCGGCAACAGACAACCAAGTCAAACATGTACTTCAGATCTCATGCTCCTGTTTAGGCAGATGCACTAACAACGAGCATCGTCGATAGTGCGGCTGCTGGTAGGCAGATAAACATTCACGTCTAAAGTCAGTGGATCGACGTTAACACTTTATGTAACAGAGTTCTTCGTGAGGTTATTCTCTTCGCGGTACTGTTTTAGTGATTTATTTCAACCTTTGTAACTCAACATCCAAAGGTGAGAGGTTCATCCTTCTGTCATGAATCGTTGTATGAGAACAATGGTGCGTTTCAGACTGAGACACCCTGCAGTAGTGGTAGCAATGGGATGCGAACCGCATTCGACGTGGTGTGTGGCTGGTTCCACCGCGCAATGTGATCGGTTAGCGAACCTACTCCCACTGTAAACATCGACGCTGATACCACACATGTGACGAAAACCAATCAGCGAAGGCAAATGGAGCGGCGCTTAGTGATTGGATAGGTCGAAACTGAAAATCCCGTCCCAACCTGTGCTTCCGGTAGCCACATGTCCCCTCTGTGCCGCGTTTATCAATCCTTTGACAGATGACGTTGCCTAAACCATGCACGCTTAAAATGTGGTATCATCCGCATTCGGATTTCCCTGACATCATGAGCACAGATGAGAACACGCGCTGCTACGGAAGAACTATGGGTGACTTGTGTGTTCCCCGCAGTTCCAATCACCTACACCACGTCCGGTATAAACCCAGGAGAATAAGTTCTGGAAGCGCCACTGCGGCACTGCTGTTCCGACCATTTCACTAATGGATAGGTCAGCCCACATGACAGGGCCTCACCGTCGTGACAACGCCCAAACGCTTTAGTGTATACACACATTTTTCAGCAATATGGCTCATGCGGATCACGTGGGTGCCACTCACTCAGGGTAACATTTAGGGTATCATACCTTCCGGATACAGTTGGCGATGCGAACTGGTCTTATCCCGTTCCGTGACGAAATCACTCTTTGGATCTAGCACAACATCATCATCATAATCATTACACGTTAGCTGGAGGTGGAAAACACCTCAGCTATTGTGCCGCAATACAAAAGACAAGAAAAGGAAAACAGTGGCACGCCCGCTGAGTCCCCAGTAACGGATGGACATCGTTCCGGAGAGCTAACAGCTGGCTGCCGTAAAAGAGACTCGTATTATGCCTAAAAAGTGAGATCGTGATTGGAGGGGGATACTAAACAGGAGGGGGATGGACAATGGCAGGCAGCTTTTCAGTCTTCGCAATGACGGCAATCACTCTGGGACGAATGTCAAGGACACGGTTACATACCCTCCTCCTCTTAACCGACTGAACCACAAGATGCAAAATGTGATTCGTTAGCCCAAACACTTGTCAGCGATGCTCATCTCACTGTACAACTGACAAGAGTGCTGAGACTAAAATTTTTATAGACGTACCATTCTTTGGGTTTGTGATTATTGAAAGTGATATCTATGGTTTAAGGAATGCGGACGTCGAATGAAGGAGAAACCCAGAAAGGCACCAACTTGCGTGAACCAAAGTACGCAAAAAATAGGTTTATTGTGGGATCTATCCGAAAGGCAAGTGAAACAAATAAGCTTGTGTGCTTGTTGGGAGCAAGATCAGCTGGAAATCCAAACCAGAGTTACACGGTCAGCTAATCAGATGCTGGAATGAGGGCGTAAATTAGCTCAGCTACAACACCATCGAGGATTTAGTCTAGGTTCAAACGATATGCCACTTATCCCGTACAAGTTCACTTAGACGTAATGGAACTTCCGGAATAGGCTAGGTCCAATAGCTGGCAGTTAGTAGGTTCATAAGCTAAACTTAAGAAATAGTGACCCAGTATGTTAGATCTCTTTCAAGTGCACATTACTTCTAGGGCGGTTTTTCCTGCCCAAACAAAACAAGGAAGCGCAACGTACCTCATACCAACTCCAAGACACAAAGCAAGTAATAAGGGTCAAGAATACGAAGTGATGAATCTAGGAAGTCACCCAATTAATCCACCAATTGGTCAGTTGTATGGTTCGGTCAACAATACATGTAGCCCTGGACCCATACTCTATAAGACTCTACTTTTTGAACCAAAACACGGCAACAGGTGACCTTGTAGTTGACATCCTTATCCCCAATATTCAAGTAGTTCGGTGCTAATGTTGTATTTGGGGAACCCGCTGTGTGGTTGGACCACGCCTCGCAACCTCTATTGGGACCCGGTTAACTTTTAGGTACACCTCGGTCATTCCGATCGCAAGAACCGTATCTGAAATGGAGTAGCTACACCCAGGCACCTCCAGCTCGGTCTTCGCCTTGACCATAACAACAGACATCAGCGAGTGCTAGTGGAGTGCACCGGGTGGAGTATGAAGACACAAAATATCTACACTCTTGCAGCTTGAAACTGGAAATGTTTGGGGTGAGATGCGAAGAAGGATAAACCAAGGCTGTATAATGCCAGAGCTCGTGATATACATTTATAGTAATTCAGGCCTACTACATGTATTCTTACGTGCATACTAAAATGCTCCACAGGAACTCGTACGTATCTGGGGCCAGGATGATAATAAAGGTATCCAAATCAGTAGTTGCTTTAACATACGTGTGCTGGTAAAAGGAACGCTAAAGTACAGAATGACTGAAAGCGATATTTGTGGATTGGAAACAGGCAACACCAACAAAGGGATCAAATTAGCAGCGTCTCACATCCAGTTTACGGTTGGCTTCGGTCGTTAGGTGCGTGGAAAGCGTTTTGCCCCTACCACGGAGCTTTCTTATCGACACATTTGATACCCTAAACCTTGGATCTTTGATCTCAAGAAAACCATTGTCTACTTTGCTGCCGTCTCCAGTCGGCATTGGTAGGCGCGGAATAAGTAGGTAGTGGAAATCGCCAGCGAAGTGTATGTCACTCAACATTCAGGTAGTTTTCAGCAGTTCTTCTTTCCACAGCTAAACTGCTGAATGACAAAACAGAGATTCACTACTTGAATCCACTTTTAGATTCCAGTGATATGCACGTTGTTCGGGAAACATTTGGGAATTCATTTATTTTAATGATGCGCCTGTACGTTTCACAGTATTCCACGCGCCTCCAACCGAAATGGTCAGGGTTACAGGTAGCATACCCATAATGTACCACCCTCGAAATGACCACTTCGAATGTCCAAGTTTAAGAAAACCGCCATCGGTACCTTTAACGTCAACAGTTGATATTCCGAATTCACGAGTACATAAGTCCACCATGAGTTGTCCGGCTTCTACGACTCAGCACTTGTCTCATGCTCGTAGATATCAAAAATTTAAACCAGCCACCCAATCGACTTATCGCTGGACTGCACTATCAATCGAACTCCCGTTGTAGCGTACAGCCAATCAGCTGTACAAAGCGAGAGTGATAGAAGGTTGGTTTGCGTCAGCTTTTTGGTTGCTTTCAGGCCAAAAGTTGACAGAACACAACCGAAACGCACTTTACATTTGGTTCACACGAGTGAACATAATTTGCACACGCTAATTTGACAACAAGGTGCACAGTCTGTGCTTAAGCTCCAATCAGCGTGCGAACAAGGTTCAGTAGCGGGTGAGTCCTACTGCTTGCACCCTGTGCATGTAGTTTCGGCTGCGTCGCACACAAACACTGAACTACAGCTGTAAGCCACTGACCATTCGGCGTGATTTGTTATTGTCGACATGCCTCTGACAGATGTTAATCAAGTCACCACGAGTCTAAATACACTGCAGCTAAGGGATGCGGCCACCTCGTCGTCCATTTCGTCACATCACGTAATTGCTGTTGGTAGGCAGGTGAAGCAATTTACAATGAATTCTCCTACTTGTGTCCTTGGAAAGCAAGGGAACCAAAATGCTGCTGCTTTATCCCCCGAGGAAGGGATCGGTAAAACACGGGATTTCATAAACTGCCCCATTGTCCAAGAAAACGGCCAGCGTCGATACGGTCCGCCGCGTGGTTGGAAATCAGACCCTCCTCCCAGAGGTTGCGAAGTGTTTATTGGAAAGATACCCAGAGACTGCCTTGAGGATGAACTGATTCCGGTCTTTGAGCAAATCGGTCCGATATACATGTTTCGTTTGATGATGGAATTCAACGGATCAAATAGGGGTTATGGATTCTGCGTGTACACTAATCGGGAAGACACGAAAAGAGCAGTACAGGAATTGGACAATTATGAGATCAGGAAAGGGAAAACTATTGGGGTCTGTTTCAGTGTTGACAACTGTCGCTTGTTCGTCGGTGGCATACCAAAGAGCAAGACGAGGGAAGAGATAATGACTGAAATGAAGCGAGTGACGGAAGGTGTCAAAGACGTTATCTCTTACCCCAGTGTGAACGATAAGTCAAAAAATCGGGGTTTCGCGTTCGTGGAGTACGAAAGCCACAAAGCAGCTGCGATGGCTCGCCGGAAGCTTATCCCGGGACGCATCCAGCTGTGGAACCAACAGATTGCAGTAGACTGGGCCGAACCGGAAAGGGAGGTCAATGAAGACATTATGTCCAAAGTGAGTACTATCGAACAGACTGTAGTTCAGCTACATTGGTTCAGTCACACATTTCTGCCACTAATGAAGCGAGATGGTTGTTTGTGTTTAGGGCAGCGATGGGGACTATGGGGATGGTTGCTAGCTTAGGTCTTTTTAGTCAGCCATTATCCAGTCACCGGAACGCGATGGTTTCAGTTATCTCACACCACACAGCCGTGAATAGGTGATTAGATAGCAAAAGGTTACAAAACTCAGATGTCAAAAATATCGCAGGCCAGCCTTCAGATAAAAGGTTAAAGAGAGGGAAAGGTATAATTATTTGAATGGCAGATTATCAGATGGAGGTACTTGGCAAGGTAAGACATCAGCACTACGTCGGTACGCAGTACCAAATCTTCACTGCCGCGCAACCAACACGTCGCGCGTGGGCTAAGGATACTGCGAGGGTCGCCCAATCTCCTACGCAGGCTCGAACCCGCGCCCTCGGATTACAAGGCGAGCTTGGGATCCTTAAGGCCACGGGGGGGGGGGATACAGTAGCGTCATTTAGAAAGCGTTCTCATCGGGTGTGGCTGATCCGGATGCCTCTATCCAGGAAGATGTCATAAGTCAGCCGGACTTTCTTTCAGTAGACTTCTTGACGTTCAGTAGCAATTTCGTCTGCTACATGTTATATGGCTTCGAGCTTCCACCGAGATAGCGCATCAGACTACCGGAAGGCCTTGGTGACTTTCCATTGGACAAAAATACCATTAATAATCTGCTGGTACCACTAAACCATCTATCTTCTTTGGTATGCAAGTGTGCTTGCTCATTCATCGATAAATGGAACATTATGTTAAAAAGACAGAAATGGAAGGATGCTTGCTGGTTAAGTACTAATCAATAGGGTGTAATATGGTAGGTAGCTCATCTAATAAAGCGACCGCTACTGACACCTAGCTTTACTGTTTCTATCTGCCTCCGGTACTAGCCTAGTCCTCGATAGGCAGCGAAGTATGTTAAACGAGGTGTCATTTAATTTTCCCTTAAGAACATTGGTATCACCAGGGTGCTTGTTATGATACAACAACGCTTCAACCTTTCCCCCCAATTATTACCTACCCTGAGGGCAATGCATGTGAATAAGCATTAGTTGACTTTGGTTTGTGATATTTCAGTGAGATATAAGACCCAAAAGAATGATTACGAGAATGATGATGTTTATATTTTTATCGTCAGTAGTGTTGTCGTTTCTCAGTATTGGCATTACTTTTCTCTCTATAGCGCGGCTATGCCTACAAGCCAACGTGTTCCACACTAGATAAAAACTTTCTGCTAGATTGCAGTCAAACCACCACCATACTAGACATCAGCCGAAAAACACTCCGGTAAGATATTCGATATTTGAAAAAATAATAACCAGTACAAAATGAAAAATAGAAACAGTTAGCCGTTTGCCATTTTTATTATGCATCGACTGTGCCGACGTGGTCGCAAGGGGAGACTAAACAGGATGGGAAGGGACGAAGGAAGTGACGACACATACGCCACTGAGATCGGCTCCTCTTTCTGTCAATAAATGTCCTCAACTGAACGTGTTTATCTTCTTCTGGATCCTAGTCATGGTGTCGAGACGCTCCAACAGAGGTCAGCTTCATTCCTTTTGATCAAGCTATCGGTTGACCTCTGCTCTGCTTCTATCCATGCCCGGTCGCGCGAACAACGCACATCTCGGAAACGGGTATGCTGATAGGTGCAACACTTGACAAAACTATTAGAGCCGGCTGAGTGATATCACGCGGTTGAGCAGTTCACTCGCACTTCCTGCACCAGATGCGAGACGCCGAACACGCTTAATGCGCATGCGGTGTACCCACCAGATGTGAGCTAAGCTGCGAAGGCAGTGATGATCGAAAGTTACAAGCGTCCTTAGTCTGTTGATCTTATGGGTCCAGTTTCGCAGTAGTATAGTAGGGTTGAAGCGAAGAAGGCATGGTTAACTCGACCGTTCAATGCGAGAGTGATGTCGTGCCTGCACTATAATTGGTTACTGGCAAAACACTTTTAGATCGGGCTATACAGTTTAACACTTCGTCTATTCCACATGCACTGATGCAGCTACTCAACTGAGGATTTTGTGTGACTTCTAGCTGATTTCAACCAAGGGTTGGTGCGGGGGAGGCCTTTATCACTCTTGGAGAAAACTTGGGTGCAAAGCATAACCACAAAGAGTCGGCAGCTAGAGTTAACCTGTCCGTCGTTGCTTGGCAGGTTTGTGAGCTTTCACAGATTAGACCAGCGTTTTCAACATAGTCATGTCGAGACTTCGATCACGCGGAATCAACTGCACATCTTCCAAGTCGTGTTTGATGAAAGCGTTCCCGTAACTTGGTCAAGTTCGAAGTCAAAAATGAAACATGAGCGGGAAACTTTGTCTCACACCACTGGAGACATTGAAGAACGGTGACAGTGTACCGTAAGCCCTCACTCTAACCGAATTATGCGCGTAGAGCCCTCTGGTAATGTTGTTCCGACCTACCTTTCCTGAGCAGACAGTTCCAGAGGGAATAGCAACCCAGCGAATCATAGGTAGCCTGGATGTCGAGATCGCCAATGTAAAGCGCAGTGATTCAACAACTGGAGTATAATCATAATATGACCAGTGTATTCGAAAATCTACCAAAACCCGACTTGCTCATCACGAATCCCAATTTTACGAGCGACTGAGGCAAGTCACTCGGCATCAATAGATACGTCAATGGTTGCCGCATTTCTAACTTGAGCTTCCTTGGAAACCGGGATAACAACGGAGCAGTTCCAGTCGGCATGGATAGTTTCCTTCCCCCACAGTTCCACTAATACATTATGTAAGCTGTTCACATGAACTAGATTCTGGTATTTGTAGATGGACTGAATATGCTCACCCATTCGTGCGGCCCTATGCAAGTGCAATGGTTAATTTCAATTTCCCCAAAGTTCTTTTATTTTCTGCGGATTAATTTAGAGAAACTAGTCTGCGCTGTTAGTGGTGAAGACGCATTGAACGGTCAGCTCTTCATGCCTAACGCCATCGTTGATTCAGGGCTTAGCTAGAATACTACTTAGGTGGCCTAATAGTAGAATTTTCCCTTTTGCACCTACTGAGTTTATGGTGGCGAACGCATTGAATCCTTATCTATTGAGGAGTGGAGACCGTCCGACGTATTGAAGTGACCTATGCATGGCTTAATTCAGATGTACTATCTATCGGAGTGAGCATGAAACGGGTGCCTTGTTCAACTTCCTAAACGTCTGCATCCGTCCGAGTATGTGATTTAGTGGAACCACCCGGTCGACCCCACGCCACCGTTATTTGATAACGTAATGAAGCTGCAGCCAATGCCTAAACGATCTGGTCCGTTCGGAAGTAAGCCTGTATCGAAAAGCCAGACATCATGAGAAGCTTTTCGCTCTTATTCAGCGGTGAGTTATCTCAGTGCCAGCTTGCTGTTAGGCGTAAGCCAAGTGAATGAACGCTGATGCGTCTAGTCGGCGCCGAATGGGCATATTAGATCCTTAAGCCAAATCCTTTTTCAAGACCATTTTCGAGAAATTTCTAACCGACCACGTATATGTAATGAATCCACCCCCACTTTAACTACGCTTTTTTGCACAGCTAAAACTATCTGGATTTCACATGTAGGCACAGGTTTCGGTTTGTCCAGCTCCGGAAACTGCAACTTCATTGCCTTAGTGTTCGGATTATCGCTGGTGTCACCCAAGCGCGACTCGGTTCACTAGGGAAACGTTTGCTTTGTATTTTATGGGGATAGCCGATATTTATACGATTATGTCTCTATAAGGTTCGGTCTACAGGCTGCGCTACCTGATCGTATAGACGCTGTACTACAGTTTAAAATTCATCGGATGTAATATTTCGTCCACGAATCTTCATAAAGAGACAGCTGAGCAATTACCTAACTTTGTCAAACTTGCTACTTTCTCGAGTCTTAAACAGAAAAGAATGATGGCTTTGGTACCCCTTTGATTCCTATAACTTAACTCCTACATCAACATACTTCGTTTATAGGTGAAGATTCTCTACGTACGAAATCTTATGCTTTCCACTACCGAAGAGTCACTCCGTGAACACTTTGTCAAGGCTGCCGGGGGCGACCCAAATTGCATCGAGCGTGTGAAGAAGATAACCGATTACGCATTTATTCACTTTAAGGAGAGAGAGCAGGCCGAAATTTGTCTCAACATTCTCAACGGTAAGTCGCCGTCAGTTAGTTTCTTTTTTAAGGAGGCATTTACTGACAGGTAAGTACATCCTAGCCCTACCACATGTGTTTAACTTTCGCCCAATTATGCTGTTCGCTGCGTATATTAAGAAGGTCTAACGTTTACCTGTAGCTGTTTGAATTGTATGGATTGATCGCAGCGAAGAAAAGAATAGATTTTTAGTTCCAAGTTCGTAACTATTTGAAGGCTCTTCATTTGTGTTTGGCCAAAGGCACCGCTTCACTCCTAGTTCCACTGTTCTTGTGGCGCGGCTGAACAGTGCCATATAATCAACATGAAGGACGAATGAAGAACAGACTGAATTCCGCTTGGACTAGTATTGTAGTGTAACCTAGCATTGGTTGACACGAATCTTTACCCTAGTCCATCATTGATTCTTTATTTACGCTGACATGCCTCCTGTTGTCCCAGATACCACAATTGATGGTTCAAAAATTGAAGTGAGCTGGGCCAAACCAGTGGACAAGAGCGAAGCTAACATTCGGCAGCAGTCTAATCACACAACGAACAAACTTTTCGGCGAACTTGATTTGGGTAAAGAGCTCCGGTCGAATAACCCTCTGCTGATTGACCCCAGGACAAGCTCGAGTCTGTCTAGCACAACTGGTTTACTCTCTCATCTAGATCCCTCCATCCCTTTTATGCTCTCCCATATGGGACAGCACGCAGCAATCTCTCCGGATATTTTACCCATGAATCCAACGTTGCCATCATCCTCGGGAGCTACTATGAATATTGGAAGCCCTGGGTAAGTTCATCGCTGACCCACTACGCTAAGTCACTAGCAAACTTCGGTTGCAGTTGAGAATACCCGTAGATTATGGTGTGGATGTAGATTGTGCATTGCTTTCCGAGCAGAATGATTAGTTTGCAGATGTTACGTTACCAGAGTTGTCAACATCATCAGTGCGGCTTCAAAGGCCTGGCACAGTTGCACTTGCCCACACGGATTCTGTATGGTGATTTGAATACAGGAATAAAGTAAACCCAAAGTTCCGCGACAGAAATGTTTCTGCTCATACATGGAATTCATGCTTTCTATCAAGTCTAAAAGACGTTTTTTCCACTTCTGCTTATGCAAATATCGCACCATCGCCACACTGAATCGATAGCTCGGCCAGGCAGTTCGCAGATCAACACGTGACATGGAAGTGTGGTGTTCCAGTGGTCGATTGCAAACTACGCACATGAATGCATCTTGCAATAGTCGAACGGTCCCAAGTCTGCTCGATACCATACTCGTGCAGCCGATGACATGCTGAGAACCACGAGGTCTTGTATCTAATTTACTGCCTCGTATTCTGGGCTTCTGTGCAGACAGCGCCGTAAACGTTTGCGTTTGAGCATGAAGTTGTTCTCTGAAATGCTTTTGCAAATCACTCTTTGTAAGGTTGTTACTGATAAATGGCCTCTCAGCTCATTTTTAAGTATTCAGGAACCCATTTGGTAACCCGGGTCTTCATGCGCTACTGCTGCGTGGGGCTAGTTTCTTCATTTATAGCCGAGTACTGTAACGGTTTGGCCCCTATCATCAGGTACACTCACATTCGTGTAGAAAAAGTCTGGAGTAGAATTAGTCTAGCTAATGTAGTATATCCGATCACGAGTGTCGTCCGTAGGCTGCGAAAGAAAACTGCTAGCAACATGTACGCCTGGGGCTCTGACTGCGTAGCAGATCAGGTAAAGCCAAGACTTCGCCTCAAATTCAGCTACACGGTTTTATAAATGGTCGTATTGGTTGCTGTACATAGTAGAACCAATAGGTTGGGGCAGGTCACTAGCGCAGTCTCTGTTCTTTTCCATCCGCTTCCCCATCAAATGCAATCCGTGTAAACAACGACAGCCATAGTGTTACTGAATTTTTGTCATCTTCATCAGTCATCAAATTACCCAGTAGTGGAGCAGCCATAATATTAATTAATGAAGCCTCACTACCCGCTTTATCCGGATGCATTTAACGCGCATACCATGAGTAACAGGTATAAAACAAAGTTGTCCGCTGTCACTTTTCCTTTTCCACTTCGCTGTTGATGAAACCATTTAAATTACGTCCACTGGACACGGTTTAGTAAGTGAGGAGTCGCTTTCAGGTGACCGACTTCGCAATTTGGAGTGCACTCGCGAAATCACCCTAATCTGCAAAGACTCACAAATATTTCAAGTAGCAAACGGCAAGGCCGCATTGACTATCAATCGTTTCGGGCTGTTTCTCACCCTGTAAGTGCAAAGCCTTTCTTCGCGATTGATAGGCATCACCTTCTGCACTAACCCCTGGGGTGGACCAGCTGGGCGTCCTTCAGAGGCTCTACTGGCTAGACAGCTGTCCGCTAAGGAATTGCAGGTATGGTCACTAACTGCATAGCATAATTCGAAGCGATTTCGCTAACTTCTACATTTTATGGCGTCGGTGCAACATCCCCCATGTCATGAAGAGTAGAGCCTAGATTGCAGCCCTCGGGTCAACCCCACTGTATGATTGAGAATCCTAGCCCATCGAGTCGACAGACTTGTAGATTTCAGTCGCGTTCGACCACAAGTGTCTTCGCAGATTAGCTCATAGCTGCTGGGAACATTGCGTGGGCAATGAGAGGATTCGACATCTTGTCAAGGACGCGGGATAGAGAAACCAGCAGTACTCTGATACGTCGTGCCGATACTTTGCTGCCACACAACTACCACCAATCGATCGCGTGTTAAGGATATTGCGTGGGTCGACCGGGGCCCTACACAGGCTTGAACAAGTGCCACCCGGCTTTCAAAGCAGGTGCCATGTCCTTTCGGCTATCAGCCGGTGTTGGAAGTGCAAGTAAACCTTTCAGTACCGCGATTTCACGCACCAGGCTCCGATACCTGGACCACGAATGCGTATGCCACCACAAAGACTCACGCGATGTGTGTTGTTTGTGTGATTTGGCCGCGGATGGCAGTAGATGATGGGAAGCCAGTTCATAGAGTCCATAACTGTCAGATATGGATCCGAAAGACGATGACTACGTGTGGTTGAAGGTACTTGCCGATGGTGTTTGCGTCCTGAGTTTCTCTGTCTCTCCCACCCCCAACTATGATCTCATTCTGGGTGCATAACTAAAAGGGTGTAGCACTTTTCAGAGTCATGCTTCTCATTACTCTACCAAAACCGGTAAGCTTCCAAGCCATCTTACAGTGCTAACAGACCATGACTAGTCAGCAATGGGAGAAGGACAAACCTGTTCTCTGCACGATGGAAGCGCCGGATAAATATGCGCGATATATCACAGCTAGGTAATGAGCCAAAGCTGCTGTCGCTCATCTTCCGTGTCCTAATGGCCTTTAGCACAGGAGTGTAAGCGTTGGGTTCCGCGTTCTAACCCCGCAACGGGAAGATGAACCCACCGCAAAACTTCTTTTTGGATGTGAAGTGGCCGCCTGACGGAGTGCGTCCACGACGAGTCTCCATCGGTAAGGTATTTTGTTTCGCATTTCCTTTTTAAGGCCACATAAGTGAATCATTTCGCAGCATAACAAATGGAGTTTTTTCACCTCTGGCTAATGTGTAAGATGTTGAAGTCTTATAAGCGAAAAACTGTAAATCTCTGCACGTTAGCTACTTTATCAGTTGTCTCGTGTTTCTTCTGCGAGACCAAAATCCACGGCTCCCTCGCGGCTGTCGTACGAACCTCTTGCAGCTCATACTGTTGTCAGTGGTTACACAGATTCGTGACTACTGGTACATTAATTCCAGGCCGTGTCCCAGAAGCAGAACCTCGCGTGTCCCTTGGACTTTCGTGGGTACCTGATGGTATGCAGTATGTTTAACGGTATCAACTGAAGTAAAAGCATGGAACAGTGTTAGACTTCGTTTGACTATCTTTACCACATATTTCTTATTAACTACAGTCTTGATGGTACCAAAGACGGCTTCTGACCTAATATCAACACACTACTCCGCAGTGTTGCTAGTCTAGTTATTGTTCTACCTTTATGGGATTTGAGTGCGAAAGTTGGTTGTTTTATCTCCTCTGAATTTTAGCCAGGTGCGTAGCTTGGGCTCACTTTCGAACGCACCGACAACGGTGAATATCAACAGAAATGCTTCTAGGCATTGCGGGGCGAACATGCCGTCTGGGCCTTCGAGTGTCTTCGAACAGGCGGCATCCTTACAAATGTCAACTCCCGTAGATCCACACTTGATTATCGATCGTTCTAGAACACATGCGTCGATTGAGCTCATTCCCTATTACACTGCCTGTTCTCCCTGTAGTATGCAGGGTAAGATAGCAATTCTCCCGTCTCAGTTGACTGGGGTACACGGTGTACTAACTTTTCATTCACTGGTACTGAAGACGTCCAGATCCATTACGTAATGTGATTTCAGCTATCATACGTAGTGTAGGAGCTTTTGTTTGCTGAGCTGTTCTTCACTAGTGCATCCTACACTGAATGTTCGAAGAACCACTGAGCTTACTGGAATCACAAGTAAGAATTAACGCTGGCACCAAATGTCTACTGAGGAAAGGTGTGCCCGAGAAATATGTGAATGTCATAAGGGCGCTGTACACGCATAGTTCGGTCGGAGTGAGGACTTACGGCAAACTTTCGCCGCCCTGCAATATCTCCAGCGACTTGCATCTAGGTTGCCTGCTGCCACCTTTCATCTTTAACTTCGCCATTGACAAAGTCATGGAAACAGCGTTCACTGAGCACGATTTAGAAGGTGTGCAGCTGCTCCCAGATGACCGAGTTCTTGACTTGGAACATGCCGACGACATTACTCTAGTCTTTGCCAGGTCATAAACGTGCCAAGCTGCACTGGATAAATTAGCTGTGGCTCTCAGTCGTTTCGGGCTATACTTTGCACCTTTGAAACGTAACTTCCTTCTCCATGACTGGCAGGGACCCTTATGCACTGAGCCTTGGTGATGACCAGCTAGAAGCTGTCCATAAATTTAAGTATCTGGGCAGCTACATTAGCGCCCTTGGGATTGAAGATGAGGTCATGAAGCGTATAGCGAAAGCTCAAAGCACTTTTGCCAATCACCGCCACCGGTGGCGCCGGCGTGACATCACTCTCGCTCTGAAGGGCAGAGTTTACAATGCAGCCGTCCATTCAACCCAAATGTTCGGTTGCAGAACCTGGCCCATCAAGCCGATAGACTTAAAATGACTTGTAACGTTGGGCTATCACCGCCTTCGCAGCATAGCTCATGTCTGGTGGGAACGCCGCGTGGACGATGAGCGTGTTCGGCGTCTCGTATTTGGTTCAGGAAGAGCTAGTGAACCGCTCAGCACCATTACATCACACATCAGGCTCCGATGCCTCAGCGACGTGTTGCACATGCCATCGCACCGACTCCCGCATAGTGCGTCGTTTGCGCGCCATCAGTGTGGATGGAAGAAGATGAGGGGAAGCCAAACGATGACTTGGCCTAGAGGAATTAACCCTCAAAGCGAAATTGGCGTCGGCTGGTGTTTCCCGACTGCCTGACTGGGGCCCGAGCGACGAGGAACACGTTTAGTTAGATGCACTAGCTGACATGGCGAGGAGCCAACCTCAACGGCGTTTGTGTTTCTCGTCTCTTTGTTCCCCCTCTCCTTTAGCTTCTCCCTCCAACAACGCTCCCAACCCGACGCATAATGTAATTTTAGCGTTTTTTGCTCGTATAACGTTTTTACTCTGTAACGTTCAATCGCTTATCTTTTGTATTGTCACACGTTAGCGGAGTTGTGTTCCTCACCCGCGGCTGACGTGGATTGCTGCTGCTGCTGCTGCTGCTGCTG